CTGAATCGTATGTATAATTTTTTTTTTTTTTTTTTGAGACTGAGTCTCACTGTGTTGCCCGGGCTAGAGTGCTGTGACGTCAGCCTAGCTCACAGCAACCTCAAACTCCTGGGCTCAAGCAATCCTCTGCCTCAGCCTCCCAAGTAGCTGGGACTATAGGCATGTGCCACCATGCCCGGCTAATTTTTTCTATATATTTTTAGTTGTCCAGCCAATTTCTTTCTATTTTTAGCAGAGATGGGATCTCACTGTTGCTCAGGCTGGTCTCGAACTCCTGAGCTCAAATGATCCACCGCCTCGGCCTCCCGGAGTGCTAGGATTACAGGCGTGAGCCACTGCGCCCAGCCCCTATGTATAATTTTTGAATATTAAACTGGTACAAGACAACTTGGTCTTTCTAATCTGCACTTCTCAGGTTGAAAAATCTATATGCTTGTGTGTGTGTGTGTGTGTGTGTGTGCTCATGCACAAGGGAAAGAGAGTGAGCACTGATTTCTTTCTGATATGGACAGGTATGTTGGTATCCCTGTGAACATGTTGGATAAATATATCCTCTCTATATGACAGTTGTTATTTTTAAAGATTAAACATTTCTTCTTTTTTTGAATTAAGCAGCATTTCATTATGGAGATACATGAGAGGTGAAGTAGGTGTGAAATAGTGAAATATAATACTGTAAAAATAAAATTTATAATATAAAATTATAAATCTAATGTCAAAAATTGCTTGTAAAGACTTTTAACTTTGTTTTACTCTTTTTAAATTTTTGTTATCTTTATTATAATATTTTCAGTTTCATTAATAAGCATTTAAATAAAATTTCATTCTCTCTAACCTCAGTGTTTCATCTACAGATATGATTTGAATTATCTCATTAAATATTTCCCAGAAGCCTTTTTTCTACCCATTCGAAGTTCTCTCCTCATATTTCTCACTATATATTTCTTATAAACACCTAAATTGGTTGTTATATTTGTAGATTTGTTGTCCAAATATTTATCGATTTTCTCTATAACACAAACCCTTCTCCAGGTTTTCATTGTCTATATCTTACAACTGCCACCCAGGTAATGACTCTGACAATTGCGAAAGTTGTTTCTGCTCTAGGGAAATAGACTTGAACTCAAAAATTACTCTGTATACCAGAAACACCCCTAAATTTGTCAAGAAGGTATTGGTAACTGGCAATTCAATTATAACATATTTATTTGGTATATAAAGTCCAAAAAGGAGATGGACGATTTTCTTTGACTCATTTAAAAGTTATCTTCATTTATTTCTTTATTACATTTCATTTTGGTTTTTTGTTTTCTAAACTTGATTTTCAATTGGAAATCTAGGATTCTTGCATGAGAAATACACAGTTTGGGTGCAGATTTTTCCAAGATTTATCTAATGTGGTATTTCCTGCCTGCATCCCCAAACTGCTCACATATTTTATTACTGTCATATTTGTCTAACCTTGCTGGTGGTTTTGCTGTCTTCTACATAGGCAAGAAGCTGTGGATTTCATCAATAAGCTCTTTACTCTCTATTTATGGAAGAATTTTAGTTACTTACATATCAAGTTTGAATAGTAATCAACTTTAATATCAAAAGTCATGTATTAATAATTTCTCATCCACTTATGGCATGATCGAAATAATTTCATTTTGAGTAAAATTTAATGCAATTCATGAGTGTCTTGACAGCCACCACTTAAAGCCTCTTGAAACAGTGTTTTGTCTTATATCCTGGCTGTTTCTAAAAAGCATTTGAGGCACACAATGCATTTCTAAATATTTACATACTTCCCTTAAATTTTCTGTAAACTTAGCTTGGGTGGAACTTAATTTCGCAATATAGATATTGACATTGAAATCAGTACAACTTTAAAATTGTGTAAATATTTCTAGCCAGGGCAATAATATACCAAACACTCTATGAATCCGAGTCTAATCAATAAGACAGAACCATTTTGACTATTTGAAAGAGAGATAATACAACTCAGGAAATCGATTACAAAAGGGTGGAAGACCTGTGAAGCTCACAGGCATCCCAGAGATTGGCAGCACTGATGGTGCTGTCTCTAATTCCAGGGATACCCAAAGAGAGGGGAGAAAAAATTCCTTGGCTTCTCTATCCTCCAAGCTTGGCTAATGTCTACCATTGACTGTACCAGTCAGAAGCTGGTTGATGCAAGATTTTAAGAAATGATGTCTACAGGAGTCATTCATCCTGTGAAACAAAGAACAGCTAAAGAGATGGATCTGAAGGCAAGCTGGCAAGAACCAGCACAAACAAACTAACGAACAAAAAGAACTACAGATTTGGAAAGGATGCTATACATTCAGAAAACCCAAGATATCTGAAAAACTATTAGAACTCATAAAACAGTTCTATATTGACAAAGGTGAATAACTTTTGTTGATGAATACAAATTAGAAAATAGGCGGGAGGAAATCTCATTACATGGCAATAACTTCTGCTGTTTCTGCACTAATTGTAACTTTTAGGACACTTAGTCCTACTCTACTTCTCTTAATACTACCACCATGAGTATTACTACAATTTATATTACTACTCTTACTATTAGACTGTCACACCAATAAACACTAAGGTGTGGCCGTATTGAAAAGTGGGAAGAGCTTTTGTGAAGAAAACAGAAAAATATCTGAAAGTCAGAAAAAATAAAACTCGCATTAAAAACCTATCATGTTCTTGAATTTTAAAAATTGAATTTTGCAAGAATTTATGGATTTACTACAATTTCAAATAAACTTAAGCAAAATGATCCCAAAGTTTATCTGGAAGAATAAAAGGATGAAAATATCAGATATATTTATTTTAATTGCAGGAGTATGATTGGGACTTATTCCACATGCCATTAGAATAAAGTATTTATTCATTTACTCATGAAATATTTAAAGGGCCCTTATTATGTGATGGGCAGTCATGACACAGCAGCAGACAGGGAAAGTTTCCTCCCTTCATGAAGCTTGCAATCTTATTGACAAGACAGAAAACAGACAAGTCAAAAGTGAACAATTACAGATTATAATTTCTATGAAGTAAATTGTAGGACTCAACCATACATAGAATAACCAGGATAAGGCATTTAGAGTAAGTGACATTTCAGTAGAAACATCAAGATGAGAATTGAGCATTAGCCAGCCCTTTGCACAACCAAAGGGACAGCATTTCCTAAATTTTAGCTGCATGGCCTCAGACAAGTCCCTTAATCTCTCCGTCTTGGTTTTCTTCTGGAAATGTGGATGCTATAGAATCTACCTCATAGAAGTATTAGGAAAATGTGTTATGATGTGTGGAATACACAAAACATCAACAGAAACACATTACACGTTCAATGATTATTGACAAGCTTTTGATAAGAAAATCCCTGAAACTCCAATAGACAGAAATTTTAACCAAAAAGAAATAAAAAGGACTAATAATTACATTTTACATATGATTTATTCTTATCCATTCAAAAATATGTGGGAGTTGTATGATTTTGTGCATTATATACATTTAAAATCATTCTACTTAAAACAATATAAGAATTAAAGAATTTAAAAACATGAATTATTTAGTTTCAAATGTTGTCTGAATGATTTAATGTGCTTATCTCAAATCTTGATCAATTTTTATTTATTAAAACAATTTAATGCTTATTAAGACACATTGGAAACCAGCGAAATCCAGTTATTGGAACATTGTGGGCAGGAAGCAGGAAATCTGGGGTCCATTATGAACTTTCATGCTGAATTTCTCTGCCTGTCACCTTGAAGCTCATTGAGACATTTATTCTCTGATATGTAGGAAAAAAATAACATAATGGAAGACAATGTTTAGAAATTTGCACTTTTTCTCAGCATGAAATTCTTCTGCATCCCTCAAATCTGAATTGTATCTGAGTTGTAGATAAAGGTTTTTCATGGTTCCCCCAAAAGAATTATGATATATACTTACATACACATAGGTTGTTTCTGTGGGAGTTGAACAAACAAATATCATCTTACAAGGAATGCTATTATTTGAGACCCGATTTTGAGATGTTTCTCTTGAAAGTTGCTAAAATAACGATAATTATAAAGAAATAATATATCTCTTCTTCAAGTACACTTGAGAATTCAAAAACATCAAAAGGAAGATAAATACAATCTGTATATCATTAGGGATTTCCATGACCCTAAGGTTCCAGAATGAGGATTTATGGCATACTCTGTAGAAATCATAAGTGCTTTGCAAGATTTCTGCCAATTCTTGAGGTTCTTTGGGGTCATGATCTCTCCGACACCCAGAAAAGAGCTCCTTCTTTCCATGGGTAACTTGCATCCAATGATGCTGATACAGCAGAGATGTAAATGTAACACTATTCCAATTCTGGGCAATTCTTAAAGTCTATCCCAGCTCCTGAGTTCCCTGGAGAATTACCTGCGTTCTTTGTTGCAATTGCACAGCAGTTTAACAACTCTGCCAGCCCAATCTTACAGCTTTCATTATTCCACAAGTGTTTATCCTGAAGTCAGTCTGCAATCATCCTACAAGCACATCTCTGTTTCTGTCTGATCCTGGGAACATTACCTAAGAAGGCTGATATCAGAGTGGTTCAAGGAAGTGGGAACCAAAATGGTATTTTGGAGTAGAACCACCAGACAGTCCTCTGGTAATGAGGATCTCATTACTGATGGTAAGTAAGGTATGGTTAATCCCTGGCATGATGTAAATGTTGTATTTGTTAAAACTTTCACCTGTGATAAACTAGGCTGAGATACTGGTAGAAGCAAACACACAGACAGGTGCAGTATCTTAGGTATGTCAGACATTTAGGACAAGTAAGAATTACAAAATCGGATGGTTTGTTGCTGGATGTAATTTACGTATTAGAAAAAAATGTAAATCTAGGTTTGAGATGATAATCACCAGTTAAGCAATTATTCAAAAAAGTCAGAAGGCCTCGTTCCTAGTAAATAAAGTACTATCATCTCTCTCAAGTTTATGGCAGAACAAAGTGAACATCAAGAAAGCATCTCATGACCAGAAGCAGATGTGTAGTATCATAGTAGCCCTGAAAGCTTCTTTCCATTTTGAATTTTCATGTATTCCAAGCTTTATATTTTTAGAGAGCCGCTCATAAAACTTTTTGTAGTTCTCTTTATCTTCTGCCAGTTCAGTGAAGAGCTCTAAGCACTTTTTGACCAAATTCTTTCTGATAACTTTCAAAATTTTGTTTTGCTGCAACATCTCACGCAAATGTTTACAGGGAGATCCTCGGAGTCCACCACTCCTCTCACGAAATTCAAATAGTCAGGGATTAGCTCCTCACAGTTATCCATGAGGAAAACTCTGCGCACATACAACTTAATGTTGTTCTTTTTATTTCTGTTTTCAAATAGGTCGAAAGGATCATGTCTTGGGACAAAAAGAAGAGCTCTGAATTTCAGCTGTCCTTCAACTGAAAAGCGCTTCACCACCAAGTATCTTCCCAGTCATTGGTCAAGCGCTTGTAGAATTCTCCATACTCTTCATTAGTAGTGATATCATCAGGGTTTCTGGTCCAAATAGGCTTTGTTTTGTTGAGCTCTTCTTGATCAATGTACTTTTCCTTAATTATTCTCCTCCTCCTCCTCCTCCTCCTTCTCTATCTTTCTCTTCTTCTTTTCTTCATCAGAACCAACATCTTCTATTTCAGATTTGTCATTGGACTCCTTTTTTTCTTTTTATTTCTCTTCCTCCTTGTCTTCCTTTTCTTCAGCTTCATCATCACTGACTTCTCTTTATCATGCTCCTTCTCCACAAAGAGTAATGGGATAGCCAATAAACTGAAAATGTTTCTTCACTATTTCCTTTATTCTTCTTTCCTCCAAGTACTTGTTCGGTCTTCTTTCAGATGGAGGATAGCCTTTGTTCCATGACCCATAGGCTCACATCTGATGAGTCTGAAATGAGCTCCCTCAGAAAGATCTCTTCGTTTAAGGAGAAAGTATTGATGATCAATGACATCAACTGGGCAATTTGCCTGAAAGGCAAATGTCTTAACCTCTTCCTCCTGCATCGGTTGGTCTTGGGTTTGGGTTTCCTCAGACATCTTGGCTAATGGACCACATGGGCTCTGCAGCACAGCAGCACCAGTACACTGAAGCCCAAATCATCTTCTTGACTGTATCACATCACATCCATAGGTGTAAGTTTGTCTTTCCTGCCTACTTGGCCCCAGCTAGATTATGGAGTGTCGGATTTACCAACGCAGTATGCGTAACATTATAGCAGACTAAAAATTCACTTTATAGCAGCAAAGGAAATTTGGCAATGAATACATGACAGTGAAATCCACCAGTTCTACACATATTACATCACTTAAATTTGCTGGCCTGAGAAAGTGATGGAATAACCTTTTGAAGGTAACGGCTAAGGTACCAACTTGGAATTGACCTCTGCTGAGCCATGTAAGTAGATGTACACAGATCTAGTAATGTGTGTATCTATACACATACGCATATATGCATACATAAATCTTAATACTGTATGTTTATTACATATTGAATATATACAAAAGTAAATGTAGAGAAATGGATTAAACAGACTAAGCAATAAAATTAAGTTTTATTATTTCTTAATGGTAAATTTCTTTGCTATTGTATTGATATTTGGTGTCTAAAATATAAAAAATGAACAGTATTGTCAGTGAGAGACGTGATTGAAATTGATTCATTATTTTTGAAAATCTTGACTTTACATATAGATATATAAAACATCAAAGATATGGTTTTACATTTAATATATCTTGATATTTTGTTCCAATGGCTTTAAGGAGAAAGAGTTTACTCTCTATAATGAATCATAATATTAACTCCTCAGTCCTATCCATAACCTGTTTTTCTAAAAATTGGCAACGTTCTTGTAAATATCAGAAAGTGTAAAGCTGTCTGTTTTAAAAAATGACTTCAAACCCACTGAAAATTTTTATTTGGAAGGTTTTAGATAGCATCCCATTTTATTGTTGAATGCAGATATGAGAATTTTGTAAGTATCACATGTGGTTTTGGGCATTGAGATTGCATAATGATAGAAATATTTCCATATGTCCATTTTCAAAATGCTATATCCATAGTATAATTTCCATTGAAAATTCATTGCTTTTTTATTCATTGTTAAAACGTCCTCTTGACCTTGAAGAAATATTTCAATATGCAGAATTAATTAAAATATTTATTAGATTAAACAATACCGACAGCCACTTACCAAAAAAGCTCAGTAAATTTAGAAGATTTTTTGAGGTGGTGATAACAGAAAAATGTATAATTTTAATTGTGTTCACTGCTTTCTTAAAACTTTGCCACAAGGTATTTTTATGGTTACTTTCCTTCTCATTATGTAGTATAATAAATCAGCTATAATTTTATATGTTCAAATAAAACTTTATTTATTAAAACAGGTGGGCTTTTGTTTACTTATCCCTCTATGTTTGGATGACTTAAAAAGTTTGCTTTATATAAGTTGCAAGCAAAGGAGAGGAAGAGATGGTATATTCTGCAGCTCACTGTATTTAAAAGTATTTTTTAAAATAAAATTATCCAAATTGATGACATCCTTGTGACTTTTAGCTACTACTACTTTACTGCAATATTTGTGAATAGTTTGGGGAGTATTTCATGTAGTAATATCTCTTAACATAACTGATTTTTTTTCTTTATTGCCATCATAGTAGGCTCATTGAAACGGTTAAATTGTTTTTTCCAAGAAAAATTATTTTATTAAAGTTTCTTTTAAATTTTTCCAGTACATCTTTCTTTTACTGACCACACAAGTAAAAATTGTCTTTGCTATTTTATTAGCAAGGCAGTTCATCTACCCAAATCATAACCTGAGACATGTTAGAAACATCTGTTCTTTCCTTCAACAGAAAACCTCCGGTGCTTTGTAATTTGCCTTAATTTATTTTTCCTCCAAATATCTGGCAATATTTTTCTGTTTCTTCTAACATAGTTGCTGTTATGTAAATACATTTTAGTCCTTGTGCCATATTGTTTTCCTAGAAAAATTTGATCCATTTTTAGTACAGCAAGAAGAAAAATTTTATCCAATGGTATTAGTTTTTTTCAACCAAGGTAAAATTTATATAGCATAAAATAAACCATTTTAAAGTGAATAATTTAGTGATATTTTGCACAATCACCATGTTGTACAACCACCACATCTATTTAGCTACAAAATATTTCTATCACCCCAAAAGAGCATCCCATACTAATTAAGCAATAATTTGTCATTTCTCTCTCTCCCTAGCCCCTGGCAACCAAAAATTTGCCTTCTGTCTCCATCAATTTAACTATTCTAGATATTTCATGTAAATGAATCATGTAATAGAGAGACCTTTTGTGTCTGGCTTCTTTCACTTGGCATAAGGTTTTCAATGGTCACCCACATTAACATATTGGGAATTCATTCCTTTTTATGGCTGAATAATATTCCATTTTATGTATTCATTACAATTTATCCATTCACCTGTTAATAGACATGGATTATTTTTACTTTTTGGCTATTGTGAATATTTCTGCTATGACAAAAAAATTTTGTTTTGACTACCTCTTTTCATTTCTTTCAGGTATATACTTACGGGTGGATTTGTTGGGTCATATGTGAATTCTATGTTTAACTTTTGAAGAACTAGAAAACTATTTTCCACAGAAGCTAAAACATTGTACATTTCTACCAGCTAAGTATGAGGGCTCCAATTTCTTCACATTGTTGCTAACACTAAGTATTTTTTAAAAATTGTAGCCGTTCTAATGGTTGTGAAGTAATACCTCATTTTATAGTTTTGATTTGCATTTACTTGATGACTGATGATGCTGGGCATCATTGTATGTGCTTGTTGATCATTTGTGTATATTTTTGGGAGAAATGTCTACTTGAGTCATTTGTCCATTTTTAAATTGGGTTGTTTTTCTTTGTTGTTGAGTGTAAGACTTTATATATTCTATACTAGATGCTTATCAGATATACGGTTTGCAGATACTTTTTCTCATTCTATAGGTTGTCTTTTTACTTTCTTGTTAACGTGTCTTTTGATGCACAAAAGTTTTTATTTTGACTAAGTGGGGTTTTCTTTATTTTTTCTTTTGCTGCTCATGCTTATGCTGTCATATCTAAGAATGCATTGGAAAATCCAAGATGATGAAGAATACTTCTATGTGTTCTTCTAAGTGCTTTATAATTTTAGCTGTTAAATTTAGTTGATCCATTTTAAGTTAACGTTGCATATGATATGAGGTAAGAGTCCAATATGATTATTTTGCACATGGATATCCAATTGTTCCAGTACCATTTTTTGAAGAGACAATTCTTTTTCCTTTGAAGGGTCTTGGCATTCTTGTAAAAATTAATTGGCCATACACATATGGGTCAATTTCTAGACTGTCCATTTTATTTTATTGGTCAATATGTCTAGGCTTTTGCCAGTACCACACTGTTTTGATTAATGTAGCTTTGTAGTAAATTTTGAAACTAGGAAGTTTGAGTCCTCCAGCATTGCTGTTTCAATATTGTTTTGGCTATTGAGGACCTTTTGTAATTCTCTATGGATTTGAGAACCAACTTTTCCATTTCTGCAAAAGAGGCCATTGGAATTTTGGCAGGGATTGCACTGAGTCTGTAGATCACTTGAAGTAAGATTGCCATCTTAACAATACTAAATCTTTCAGTCTATGGACCTGTCATTTCTATTTATTTAGGTTTTTTTCAATTTCTTTCAGCAATGCTTTGTAGTGTTCAGTATATATGTCTATCACCTTGGTTAAATTTATTCCCAGGTATTTTATTCTTTTGGATACCATTATAAATGAATTATTTTCCTTAATTTCCTTTTTGAATTGTTTGTTCCTAGTATCTAGAACCACAATTTATTTTTTCTGTTGATCTTAAACTCTGCAAATTTGCTGAATTCATTTGTTAGTTCTAGTAGTTTCTTTGTGGACTTTTTAAATCATTTTCCATATATAGAATCATATCTGTGAATAGATGGTTTTGCTTTTTTCTTTCCCATTTGGATACCTTTGTTTTTGCAAACTAATAGATCAATAATACTGGATATTATATTTACCTATGTAGTTACCATTGTCAGACTTATTTATTTCTTCGCATGGCTTTGAGTTACTGTCCAGTGTTTTCTTATTTGAGTTTGAAGAATTTCCTTTAGCATTTCTCATAGGCAGGTATACTAGCAACAAATTCCCTCAACTTTTGTTCATTTGGGAATGTCTTAATTGCTCCTTTATTTCTAGGGGTGGATCTGTTTGCTTGTATCTTGAGTTTTGTTGAACTTCTTGGATGTGTAGATTCATACATTTTTTCCAAATGTAGAAAGTTTTCAGCCAGCATTTCTTCAAATACCCTTCCTGCCCCTTTTTCTCTCATTTTCTGGGATTTCCTTTATGCATATATTGGTACACTTGATGGCATTCTAAAGGTGTCTTAGAGTCTATTCATCTTTCTTCATTTTTTTTTCTGTTCTTCATACTGTATAAGTTCACTTAGCCTATTTTCAGGTTCACTGATGCTTTCTTCTGCATACTCAAATCTCCTATTGGAACCTTCTAGTGAGTATTTCATTAAGTGATTATACTTTTCACCTTAAGAATTTCTGCTTTTTATAATTTCTATATCTTTACTGATATTATATATTTGTTCTTTCATCATTCTCCTGGTTTCTTTGAGCTCTTTTTCTATGATTTCCTTTAGCTCGTTGAGTACTTTTTAAGACAGCTAAAGTTTTGTCTTGTAAGTCTAATGCCTGTGCTTCATCAATGACAGTTTCTGTTAATTTCTTCTTTAAATGGGTCATATTTTCTTATTTATTGAAAGTTTTATAATTTTTGCTGAAAACCAAAAATTTAGCACTGTATGATGTGATTACTCTGTAAATTAGATTTTTATCTTTCTCAGGGTTTGTTTTGTTCTTTAACACAGGCTTTAGCTATTTGCTTAATGCCTTTCCTAAACTATTTTTAAGTCTATAACCTCTTTATGTGTGGCCTCTAACATCTCTGTTTCTTTAGCCTGTGTTTAGCTAGTGTTTTGATAGAAATTTCC